AGGGGTGTGTGTGTGTGGTGTGAGGGCAGGGGTGTGTGTTTGTGGTGTGAGGGCAGGGGTGTTGTGCGCTCAGTGTAAATGGGTGAACAGAGGGAATTACAGAAGCAATGCTTTTCATCATTTGCTAATTACAAAGTTAAGGGCACCTATAATTCTACTTTACACATAGAACATAATACAGTTGCGATGGTACTGGGCTTACTTACACCTGCATTTACACTTGCATGTAATAGACCCCAATATATATAGAATCTTACAGCACAGAAGGAGGCTATTCAGTCCTGCCTGTATCAGCTATGGAGGAACAATTTTCAAAAGTTGAAGTTGTTTTACAAAATATGCACTCATATTTTTTCTGTGTTAATAATATAGGAATTGAGCTGTACTTTGTTTGAAGTCCCTCAGTCTCTAGACCCTCTTTCGAAGCCCATCTTAAGACTTGCCTCTTTGCCCGTGTTTTCAGTCATCTTCCAACAACAACTTGCCTTTCACGTGGGGTGTGTCCCGGAGCCCATTACCCTCTCCACCCCTCCTCTTTCACCCCTCCACCCCTCATCCTTCCCCTCCTCCACCCCTCCATGGTGTGTGAAGCATATTGGGACATCTGTGAAAGGCATAAAATACTGTAAAATGTAAATTGGATTGTGTTATCAGTGAAGTATACATTACAGTTCTGCTTTGAACATTGTAGTGTAGAACTGTCTCTTTCACACCTGCATTTTTAGCACAACCGCCCCAACTCCTGGTTCACAGCTCTATATTCTCACCTAGTCACAATGGATTGCTCTTGTCTGGAGTATTAGAATAAAGGGAAAATTTAATTAATCTAATCTATACTGGTATTTAATTTCACGCAAAGAATTTCCAAGAGCAAACATAATGAAATTAAATGACCAGCAAAATAATACTGGTTATACAGTACTTTATTACCAGTACTAATGGTTTAATGACTGTACAGAATTGGGATGGCTTGTGCAGGCTAGAATCGCAAAGTGAGAAGCATGTTATGATGGAATAGGTTTCTCATTGATTGGTAGCGCTAGCGTGAATTAATGTAGGTTGACTAACTTGGCTTATGACTCTGGCATCACTGGTCTAAGACAGTGACTTACTTACCAGTGTGCTGTGTGACAGTAATGCTTGCTGATGATCAAGTGAAAAATTATAGCTTGCAGGTAAAATAAAACAAAATATTTTTGTATTTTGATTTTATTCAAAGTAAACGTTGACCGTAAGCAAAGACCAATAAAACCATAAGCCACTATCAAGCCAACATGTGTGCACTGCACTCTCTTGGTCTCAACAGCACCACCCACAGTTTAACAGCAGTTTAACTTTGTTCTGTTCTTTTCTGAACCATAGAGTCTGTCGTTATCCAAACATTTATGTAGGACTTATGCTTTGTGTTATGTAAATGATAGATGCCAAACAACCTGTGTTTTTTTATCCTTCCCTTATCTGAACAGTTTTTTTTATTGCAGGAGTTTTGTACATTGCTAATTGAGTATAATTTAATCCTCTTCATCCTCCAGTTTGGAGAAGAAAATTTTCAAACCCCAAGAAACAGCTTGTCTGAGCTTGTTCAGGGGATATTGGCCTGATTCAATTTGAGTTGGGATGATATGATGTAGATCAGTCTAGATAGGTCACTTTCTGCACTCGCGTACTGCAATCAAGATCCCACTGAAATCTTCGGGCCCATGTGTCTTCAAATCCCTCTACAGTCTCGTCTTACTTTTATTGCTAGCTCCCCACTCTCTCTCCCTTCGTTCCATCATCAGTGTACCAAGCCCCTGAATAGAAAACTTTTAAGATTTGGGGTAGCTGCAAGGGGTTGGCTGTTTGAATACCAGTGAAATAATTGTAGCTAATTATTTAATGGCCCTTACTGGCTACAGTGTGGTCTGGAATGCAGTGCAGAAGAAGAGGCAGTATTTTGAAGCTCCAGGACTTTTTCCAAAGGTACACCAGTCACTGTTTGCCACCCCGTCGACAGCTTTCCTTTAAGTAATTGCTTCAGCACAACAGCTGATCCAACTCTGAGTTGGGTTTTGCTGGATTTTCAGTTGGGAGAATTGACTGTTGTACATTCCTAGTTGTCTCCAGAGACACACTGGTAATGTTAAAGCAGTATTAGAAAAACTGCTGTCATCAAAAATAAATCCTATCAAGTAAATTTCTTCAGTTTACTTTAGCAGCAATTAAAGGATTTCTTGCATTTAATTTCCACTTTATAGTTGTGATTTCTTTCCTGCTCGTTCTCTGGGTATTTGTAGCAAACACTGAAGGATTACAGCTTTTGCTTTAGTGACCCGAAAATTGCTATGGAAATCAACCTCATTATGCAACAATTACCGACATTACACTAGAGAGAACTCTTGGGGAATTTGCTTGCTACTCTGGGAATTTTGCAGTTTGTTTGAAATGGATTATTCAAGTGTGACAATTTTGAATCTGGCCTTCGTAGTCACTTCACTTCCGAGCTTTCTTTTAAGTCGCACCAAAAAAAAAGGCGTCTCTGGGGCTATGTGACATGTGCAAATTCCACTGAGACTTGGTAGGACAATATAATCTGAAAGTTTGGTTCTCGATCTCAGTATATGAGACAAAATGTCAATAATCTCTCAGGTTATAATTACTTCGCCAAATCATATTTTTTTAATTCTGCAGATAAATGACGATGAATTTCCTGAGAAGCTAGGATAAAGTAAAGGTAGAAAATAACAAAAATAATCTGTCATCAGTTTATCCAATTTCCAGAATGAGGTTCAAAATGACACAGTTTAAACTTAAAACAGAATTTCATACATTCTCTGTAGATTCTCACTCAAGTTTTCTCCATCTCCCTTTTTCTCTCTCACCCAGACACTTTTCACCCTCACTGATTGCAGACTGCTTTCTTTGTTTGCCATGTTTTCTTGCATAATCCACCTAAACAGTCACTAGACCTGACAGTAATTATATGTGAAGTGAAATCTTTTTCTGCTTTTTGTTCTTTTCTGCCTTGGTCCAGATTTTCAACCTTTAAATAATCACAAGTTGAGTTTCCGTCAGAAGATTATGGGTTCAAGCCTCACATTGGGATTTGAGCGCATAGTCTGCCTGAAGCTGTAGGAGCTCTAGATTATCAGCGATGTTGGCCTATGGAAAAGAAGTTAACTGAGGATCCATCTGTCTGTTCGGGTAGACATTTAAGATCGGATGCTATTTGAAAAGAAGTCTCCCAGTAGACTGGTCAACAATGCTCCAGATTAAATTGGGGATTAAATTATGGGACCTTGTGGTGCAAATGTTTGCCATGTTTTCCTACATAACCTACCTAAACAGTCACTAAACCTGACAGTAATTACGTGTGAAGGGCTTTTCATTGTGGTAAGGCACTATTAAAAGTTTTTCCTTTCTAATGAAGCCAATGTAAACCACACTAAGAAGGCATTACTGGCATGAGAATCTAAACACTAATTTAGGGAAGGACAGTACTTGTGTTCAAATAGCAACAAGACAGCTACAGTGCCTTGCTACTTATGTTTCAGTAATGTATGCTTTATTGGATTAAAATAACCTCGCAAGGAAGAGCAAGGGGTGCTGCTGGTTGTCTTTGTTGCTGGTCTCTCTGTCAGTGGGTAAATAGTCCCTTTACCCTACTAGTCTGGTGGGAAAAGTCAATATCCCATCAATACATCAGGTAAACACATCAGAGAACTCTTGTCATCCTGTTCTCTTTCCTTTGTTGTCTCAAATATTTTCTGCACTGGTGAACAGTACTTTACTTTCAGGCTGTAAAATATAGAATGTTATGCTGTAACCAAGATTTAAATAGCCATCATTAAACTATTTGTTTAGTTAAAACAGAAATATTGATGCACCATTTAATACAATTCATGAATCTTGTGCCAACGCAGTTCAGTTCATGTATAAATTGTTGGGTTAAAAAAATCTTAACAATTTGATTGTTGAATTTTTTGTCTACAATAATACAGTCGCTGTACTTCACAGTAAAAACAATCCTGTGCATCGCTTTGAGATGTCTCGACGATGTAATGAGGCACTATGTCATGCAAGAATTATTATAGATTGTTAGATATAAAGCACACAAGCATGTCTCCTCCAAGCATAGGTTTATCAAATGTAAAAAGTTAGTTTGAATTAGTTGTACCTTATGGGCTTTTGAAAATGATAATATTATATTTGTATGGTTAGGGAATGCTGAATGTACAACCTTTCTGTGCTCTGGTTTACTGTGTGAGTCTTATACATTTACATGTTCAATATTTTCCATATAAAATATCAAATGATGAATCCTGCAATTGAAGTTACACTTCAGTCTATAACTGGGACTTTTAACAGTTAAGCTAAGATTGAACATTAATTTTCCATCCAACTCTGCCATTGTGCTGCGGTTGGAGACCATATCCTACATGACGGCCAGCTAAATGCACATTATTGTTGCTCAGTTGGTAAAACCACTGTCCCGTGTGCACCTGAACCACACCAGGAAGTTCCCAGTTTGATTCCTGCTCTCTTCTGTATTTGCTGTAGTAGCAATTGGCTCCAGTGACCCAGAGTTAGGAAAGGGAAAATAATTCTCCCTAATTCTCCCTCCTCACTATCTCGTGACCCTGCTTGAATGAGTGCATATGTGGATGTCAAGCAAGGACAGGATCAAACTTGGCTATGAAGCCATCCTCCATCGTCAAATAACTTAGCAACACTCATTGTGGAGATACACATGCGAAGCATGACCACTTAGGCAAGATAGCAGATGGTGCCCAGCACCTGTGGAACAATATTCCAACATGAATCAACCTGTCACAACAGGAGTGAGGAGAAAGAAATCTTGAATGTTAAAACCTGGTGGGAACGTTTTTCTTTTTTTTAATCGCCAACAGGTTTGACATGACAAATCACCCTTCGATGGGTCTGCAGCTCTAAGTTCATGTTTGAAACAGTGTATTTTCCAAATTTATTTCAGAAAATAATTGATTTTTTTTCTTTCCCAGACATTGTGAAGAAACATTATGGTCCTCAGTGTCCAGAGTACTTGGAGTATAAGCGTCTCAAGGAAGTCCCTGATAATGCACTGGTTTTAAGCGCCTACTCCGAGGTGAACCTCAGCAAACTGTTCGGGGCACTCAATACATACAAATAAATCAAGAATATCCTTGTGCCCTTCCAAACAGCACCTCCTTTTCCAGTTAAAGCCAGTGGACTAATTTGTGTGTGAGAGTAAAATAACTATGAAACAAACAGTTCTTGGGATTTCAGAAACTGTTTGGGGAGCCCTTCAAGTGTGAGACGTGCAGTCATGAGTTGTCTTGGAAGTTGACCCAGACAACTTGATGTGGGAATTTACAGAAAGATAGATTAGAAAAGAGCTCAACGGTGTCATTCCATGGACTCATTAATGTTTGTGTTGTCATCCTTTATGTACTTTCCTATCAAAACACACCAATTAAAACTATAAAGAGATGAAAGCAGTTGATTAAAAAGGCAGCTGGAGGAAGCAGTGTTGAAATTGGTAATTTTTTTCGGGAAAAAAATCTGCGTCGCCAAAGCTCACAGGATAGGAAATGTGAATGGTTGGGATCATGGTGGAGCACACTCACCAGGCACTGGAACAACAGACCTCATTTACTAACAAACTGAAGTACATTGGATTGAAGAAGTCCCAGACAAATGCAAGCAGTTAAGTTGTTAGCTGACTTTGAATAGAGCACAACCATATCTGTTGAGTCTCCTCCGGTTTTAATGCTCCGTTCAGAGTTACAATACCAGTAGCTTATTGCAGCGAGAAAGACTTTCAGTCTTTTTTAAATGAAAACATGTTGGTTGTAATGTTTTATGTAAGAAAACGTATTTTATGCATACAACGTTAGTAGATTTTGAATAAGATAATTTCTACATTATTGAGGAATGACATGCGTCATTTAAATGATGTTTAGATAACTGATAATTTCAATAAAGTATATTAAAGATTTTCAAGTTATATATGTTGGTCTTTTATGATAGAAAATGCTGTTTTTTTGAATTTAATCCATTCATTTGAAAAATCATAAATAATGTGTTTTTAGTTTGTCTGTTGAATTCTTAAAAGTCAGTGCCTCAGATCTTAAACCCAAAAGTGCTACAAAATAAATGAATTTAAAATTGCTAGTTTTAAGCCTGTCTATATCAGTGTATAAAATGAAGGATGTTTGAAATTAGTCAATGGTAGAATTAAACCATAATGAACATGTTTGAAATCAAAGACTGGAATAGGAGTGGTATTGTAGCCATAGTCATTACATGACTAAATAAAGAATATCCAAAGGTTTTAAGCTTTCTGAGACACGACCCAATGTGAAGGGTGCAATACAAATGCAAGTTGTTGTTTCAGTCGTGCAGATTTAGAAAAATATCACTAAAAAAAATTCACCAGTAACAGTAATGTGGCCTTTGTGTCCATCCAGTCATGTTAGATTATTGTTGACTGGGAAATGCACTGTTATATACATTGCAAGATATTTAAGATTTTGATTCGTGGTACAAGCTTTGAATAAAATTTTGAATTAAAAAAAAATCGACTTAAAAGTTGGGTACTTACTCTTTAGGTAAGTCACTGTGACAACAGATGGAATTCTGAAACCTCATTGTGCTGTTTGAGAGGCAAAGCTTTCTGAACGAGCTCTCAGCATTTAGGCTTTGAGATTGGATATCTTGTCATGTTGACTAAATATTGATTTTACTGCAGACTTTGGAATTATTGAAAGCAACAAGTTTTCCATTAGTAACCTAATCTGAGGTTTATTGCCGATCAATGCCAGATATATTAATCTTGTTCAAAGAATGTGCTTTTTAGTTGTCTGATTGATTTTTCAATATTGGAGCATTTTAATAGCAATAATTCATGCAGAATTTATCTCACTCTTCAATTACCATTTTTCTGCATTCTAAACTTTTTATTTTTCCTGCTGATTTATTGTTTGACGATGTTACAATTTCTCCTCATTTATACCTAATAATAATAATCATACATCATCCCTATGTAAAAGAACATGTCTCCAAATGGGGCAGAAGAAGATGTGGGACCTTCACTGTGCTGGTGGGGGCGGTAGTGGTTCGCATTTTTTTGCCTTTTTAAACTTCTTGTTCACCTCCATTGTCAGCAATAGTTTATTTATCCAAACACACAGAAACAAGCTTATGAAGGATTGCTCACAGGGAAAATGCTCCAAACATTTTTGAATCTCTAATAATAATAATCCTTGCATTTGATATAGCGACTTATCACATTGTTGAGACATCTCAAAGCACTTCAGAGATCAAGAGAGAGAGAGAGTTATTGGGTCTTCTCTGACACACATTGAAAGAAACAACTTGCATGTTTCAATATTGAGCTGCTGAAAGTAACAACCTCATTCCCAGACTGCCATCATTTTATATGGAGCTCAATGGTACATCTGTCCTATTTGGGTATCATTTGCCCAATAAGCCTTACACTACTGAGGTAATATGTGAAGGTCAATTAATAACTGGTTAAAGAGAAGAAGCAGGGAGCAGTCAATAGGGGAGCAAGGTTGACATCGGAAGAGATGTTTAGTGGGATGCCACAGGTGTCCTTACTGGAATCCCTCCTGTTCCTTACATACTCAAACTTGTATTTATATAGCTCGATTCATATGGGATAACACTGAGGGCTGGGGGGCGTGGGAAACTAGAAGAACTGTGAAGGAGAGAAGCTTAGCTGATCCCTAATGTTTTTGGGGGGGGAGGGAGAGAGAGAAAGATGAATAACCAGATAAGGTGGGGCTCTTGAACCTTGAAAAGAAATATCTCAGCGGAGCGATTATAGAAGAATATAAAATAGCAAATGGGATAAAGAAAGTAAAACCAGAACAATGCTTTCTGATAAATCTATTGAGCAGGACAAGAGGGCAAAGTTCAGTGGGGGCTCTGGTAGCATTTATATAGCGCCTCTCTCAGAGGGTAGCGACTCAGAGCGTTCGACAGCCTGATGTCAAGCCAGGGGATGGGGGGGAGGTGACTTAACACGGTCAAAGAAGAAGGTTTTCAGGCAGAAGCGGAGAATTGAAGGAGAGTCTTCCAGATATCCGGGGTGCAGTGGCTGAAAATGCGGCCCTCAGTGGTGGAATGGAGGGCACAAGGGACAGGCAGGAGCCTGGAGCCAGATGATCCACAGCAGACTGACCAAGATATGCTCAGTGATGAGTTGCCTTTTTGATCAATGACAACTTAAGATTCAAGTAATTGAGGGCTACAGTGCTACTGTATCATAGAATACATTCAATGCTCAAAACACTCAGCAGACTATCTCATCACACAGATTGAATCCCGTGGGAATCTTTCCCTGTATTGGAGGCGGTCTGCAGTTTATTATTGAGAATCCTGAAAGCATCAGACATGCCCACATATGCACAGAACCAAACACCTCTGCATCAACTGAACCCATTAGCAATCATGTAAACTTATGAGAATATATCTTGGGTACACATTCTGCACATCTGGGTTTTCATGTCCAAAACTGAAGGAGTTTGCAAATTTACATCATAAGTAGTACACCCCTTTATTGATATATTGACAATCATTATCTACAGATTCAAATGACACCCAACTTGTTACTCCTATGACATGACAATTTCAAAATCTAATATCAAAATGTGCGGATGTCAGGTGAGAACAAGATTGGGCTCAGGTATAATCCCATCCACAATCAATCTAATGTCATACATCTATGAAGTAATAATAATAATCCTTGCAGTTGATATAGAGCCTTATCAAGTCATTGAGACGTCTCAAAGTGCTTCACAGAATATATTGTAAAATGGATTGGCTGTATTTTGTGGGTGAAACGTGGCAGCCAATTGTGCACAGCTTGGCTGGTTACATTTATTTTTGTACTATTTCAAGTCTGAAGACAAACCGTAGAAAGATGCAAATAAAAGGCAACACTTCAATGCATTTTTGTATATTATTCATATGCAAGTTCATAATACATACAATATAATCATTCCTCCTTACATTAAACTTTAAGAGATGTACACATAAAAAATCTAAATCTGAATCATATATTCCTTCCTACATTCACCAAAACACATGTTTTTACATGTTTACATATATACAACAGCATTTTTCTACATAGGAACATGCATGCGATCTACAAATGTGGATATACTATTTGTCAGCCTGACTGTGTTGGTAGCAGTCTTTCATCTGGGTCAGAAGGCTGTGGACAACAACAATAACTCGCATGATATAGCGCCCTTCAAGTGGGGTAACGTCTCGGAGCACTTGGGCTGGGGTGGTATTTGCCCCACTGGGGCCCCTACCAGTGTTGCAATGTGGTCACTTGTGGTGTGGCTGAGCTCCTCAATTGCTGGAAAACCGACAGCGAGTCCCAGGGCAACCGAATTTAGTGGACAGATGTCCTGTCCCGGCGACACGGCTATTGGCTGGAGGGCAATCAGTGTGGCTCTCACTGCCTGGGAGCACCATGCAATTGCATGGGTTGCGAGTGCCTAATGACTAGTGGTTGTGGATTTAGGCCCCGTGTTTGTAACTTGATCTGGTAATCTACACTGACACTCAACTCCAGTATTTGGGATGTGCTGTCCTTAGGATGAGATCTTAAACTAAACCGAGGTCCTAACCGCACATTCAGGTGGACATTAAAGATCCCATGTCACTTTTCGAAAAGAGAAGGGAGTTTCCCCCGGTGTCCTGGACAACAATGTACCAAGTAAAATTGGTCACTCACTCATGGCTGTTGTGGGACATTGCTATGTGCAAATCTGGCTGCCACGTTTACCCACAAAATACACATTGATCTACTTTACAGTATATCTTTTGAAGCGCTTTGAAACATCTCAATGATGTGATAAGGTACTATATCAAATGCAAGGATTTTTATTATTTAAATTAAGACTGCTGTTCAGGTTAAAGTTACTTTTAAAGATACATTGACCCTATTCAAAAAATGAAAAGTTTTTTTTCTAATATCTTGGCCCAAAATCCTCCAGATAAATCGATCATTCACTTAATAGTTTTGTGTGGGACCTTAACTAATTAACAGCACACACTTAGAAATTATCTATGAAGTGCTTTGAGATATTTTAAGATTATTGGTTCTGTATGAAATGAAAGGATTATTTTATTATTGGTCGTATCAGATTGGATAATAAAGGCATCTGCAATGAACCTGTACCCTTGAGCATTCCAAAGAGGTATAATATGTAAGCAAGTTTCCATCATTCCATACATTTACAGTTAGTGTTTGTGTATGATTCTTCATAAATATAAACTTAATACATTTAAATAAATATGAACTTTATACATTTTTAAATATCAGAACATGGGGAGACAATTGCTCAGATTAAAACGACGTGTTTGCACCAATTTCATACTTAAATCCTTGCAGAAGCAGCTGACTTTACTGAGTAACGCCCACCTGACTGTGTATTTCGTGCAAAACTGCTATAGGATATCACTTTTATGTAATTTCCCTCATTTCATGTGGGATAAATAGCTTTAAATCACAGCAGCCGTTTGTGCACACATTTATTGGAATTTGCTAGATTAAATCATCTCCGATTCAAATTTCAAATTTGGATTCCTTGAGCAATAAAGCTTTATAGAGTTGCAGGAGGCTGTTTTCAAACCTGGTTGAATACCAGTGGTTTTGCATTAATTTACTACTAAGCTAATAAGTAGGTTTCGTTTTGTTATGCTAAGCTTTATTGCTTTCTTTTATCGGAATAGTGTTTTCACCAAAGCGCAGACAAGGCATTCTTTGATGAGGGAATTAGTGCTCTATTATTCCCCTATTATTCATAGCACACTAGAATATGTAAGTACCTGAGGGTGTAAAAGGAGAACAGAGTCTATTGCAAAGTGTTCGGCTTGTTTCTTTGTACAGCTGAGTATGAGATGATAAACCGCTTAATACACTGCACTAATTGGATGAGAGCAAAGAGATGGGAATTAGTGGATCCAAAGGAGATCGTGCTACTGCCTCCAATACTGCTTTCTTCGAGCTTTCTTTCATGACTTCAACAGCTCCAAAGAAAGCTGAACCCTTTCCCCCTCTAAAAGACTGCAGGTTTTGTGTAGAATTCTCTACGTTAAAACAGTTCCAAGCCAAAGGGAACAAATTCTAGACGCTAAGTATTTGAAAGACTTATACTGCAAAATTCATCTTAACTTGGGCTGGTTACATTGATTTTTGTACTATTTTGAGTCTGAAGACAAAGCATAGAACGATGCAAATAAAAGGTAACAATTAAACGCGTTTTTGTATACTATTCATATACAAGTTCATCCATACATACAATATAACCATTCCTCCTTACATTAAACTTTAATTTCTTAAAGAGATGTACACATAAAAAAAATCTAAATCTGAATCATATATTCCTTCCGACACCAATACACATGTTTTTACATGTTTACATATATACAACAGCATTTTTCTACGTGTGAACATGCATGCGATCTACAAATGTGTACATAAACTATTTGTCACTTTTTTGAAATACCTCCAATTCTGGAAGCGGAGTTTGGGAACAGATGGTGGGAAGATTGGCACTGAATGAAGAGAGTTGGATTTGTGTGATGGTGCTGAAGTCTGGCTCATGTGCAACGCTACGTTAAAGAGTTATTGGTGACTGAAGGCAACACAAAAACACAGAGGAGGTTGTCTTAAGGTTGGGGGTCACAGTCGCCGTGTTTTGTAGCAAGAATTCCCAGATATTAGATCCAAATTGAGTTGCTATTCATTAATAATGTTCACAATAAGATTAAATCATTCGGGAAAATCTCATAAAATCCTCCAAATACGCTTCACTGCCTCTTTCAAACGAAATCATTCAACACTCGGGGATGTTTAGACCAAGAGAAATTGGTTTTCTTGCTAATGCTTTTTTTTCCAGACACTCAGAGCTTATCATGCGTGACATGTCAAATGTTTAATGTAGACTTGATGGGATTCATCGGCCGTTAACGTGTGATATTTATAGTTAGGATATTTAGCAAAGAGTGGCAGCTTTACCAGCTGCATAACATGAAAGAACAGTCTCAGATCTTCACGTTTGCACCGTCACTACGAGGTGGGATTAGCTGTAAAATAAGGCCAGTGAGAGGGAGACGCTTTCATCCGCCCATAATAACTTTAATCCTCCAGGTAATTTCACACAATTTGATTTAGTACCATAGAAAGGGGTCAAATGGGGGGGGGGGGGTGTCTTTAAAGAGTGTTCATTAACTGAAAGAATGTCACGAATTGTGGTATGATGTCAACTATTTTTCTAGATATAAAATTATCTGAAGTAGGTGTCATCCAGTTTCAACAGTTCGGTGACTAAAACATTTCGTTAGAGAACAGAGTAGACAATAATCATGTCCGGCCATCAAACCAGAGATGTCAATTGTATTTGAAATAGGTAAAAGCAACGGAATCAGTTGGCATCCAATACTCCTTTAACTCATTGCGGAAATTCTGTTTGCACTCCACCTCTTTAACCTGTTACAATGTTCAAAAAAAATTGAATCTGTCCTGTGTAGATATGGTCACTTTGAAAAAAAAATAAGCAGGAATTCCTTTTAAAACATGCAACAACATGCGTACCTCTTTACTGAAAAGGCAATATTATCTCAGGGAATCGGTAAACAGGTGGAAATATTAAGGGTGTGTATTTGACTAAACTGTTTCGCTAATGTGCGATCGGATTTTATCTGCTGCCTGTGTACTCTGTATACTTAAATAAGGTAAAGTACTGTACATTGTCCATTTAACCCGGTACCGGCTATTCAGTTCAATCTCTTTTGACAAGTCTTGCAATAGTTGATTCTCTGCACAGCATCACAGCATTTACAGCTGTAAGTCACCAGAAAGCTGGACAAGACATGTTAAGGTTCACCTTCATTGGAGTACTGTAGCCCTTCCTTTCGCTTCACACGCTCATAGCTCAAACGGGGCTCATGATGGTATGACATTTTCACAATGGATTTGCAGGTTCATTATCTTAAACCTTATCTCGCCATTTCAACCAGAATTTAATCCGACTGTCCTTGGGTGTATTTTAAAAAGATCTTGTGTTTGCACCTGTTCCTTTCCATTTGCTGAGCTCTGTTGGATTATTTGAATTCGCGTGGCAACATCCTACAGAGATTCCCCTCCAGGAAGCAGATTACCGTGTAAACGTAACCCATCAAACCATCCACTTAAGTGGCGCACTCCCAATTGAACCCTCAGTGTAGCTCGCATCAAATGTCTCCAGATTGACTATTAATTGAACAAGTCGGCACCGATCGTCAAATAATGCAGAGGAAGGCAAACATCAGCACCAATGCGCGTCATGGCAAAATCTTTACCACCAATGTTTAGTAACCAAGGATACTCATTACCATAGATACAGGAAATATACATACAACTCCCCGCACACCTCTTGCAACTGATAAATAACTTACTGCCATGTTACGGCAATGTTAACCTTCCAAATAGATAGCTGATCTGTCAACGTTGTCTTGGCATTCAAGTCATCCAAATGAAATACAAATACCGTACCTCTCCATTTTTCCAACTGCATTCTGCTCTCACCGAGTTGGTATGATTTGTGGGAAATATATTTAATTTGAGGCTTGTTAAGGTAATTGTTGCAAATCAATAAAAAAAAGATCGTATTTCCTGGCAGCATTCTGCCAGCTTTCATCAGTGCGCAGTGTTGAAAGAATTCGCTAAGAAATCTGCACTAATCCCAATAAGGGTAAGCATTATTTGTGATGGTTCATACCGTTTCCAGTATCGATTTCTTTAAAAATCCGGGTTGCAATTCGAATTTAACTTTCACAAATCAATAAGTCTTGATTTTGCACGTCAACTTTTTTTTCAAAACAAGCAAATTAATATTTGGAATCGCTTTGCAAAGTATGTATTTGCTAACGACCCTACTTTAAAAATAGCCAGGAAACACACTCAACTATCTCCACTGGCGTGAGTTGGAAATTAATGGCGAGTTGGATATAATTTACTGCTGTGTAATCTGTGTACTCTGCACTGCTGAAGAGTCACGGTTTATGTATAAATACAATACAACCCGACTATATGCAACAGATCAGATCAAGTGAAAAGTTACTTCTAACCTGACTTCTACTTGTCTCAATACCGGATCCTGCAAAAGAGTGAAATTGGTGCGATTGTTTTTTTTGGGGTAAATAGTGAATATGTCTGCTGTTGAAAATCTTTCAGTATATCTTCCTTTAAAAATAAATCAGGTTTCGAACCGATCTATAATAAGGGCTTTCTCAGATTAGCTTGTTAATCATAACATTTTATTTTAGAGTGCCGTGACTCCTTCTAGTCCATATCAAGAAAAATGGGACGTTACAACAGTACATGTAATATAGCAACTTCCTTTTATAAGGTTTTCGAAACCTCTATAGTTAATAAGTTAAATAAAGTGTTTGTCCATAAATAATTATTCTACGAACCTAATACATCCACAACACTGTAAGTCAGAACCGTCGGCAAATCTAGAGAATAAACTTTTACAACAGAGTGCAACTTTTCGTATTAATTATTTAAATGTACAATTGTTTCCTGGGAAATTCTGAAGAACAACCATATGTACAGAAATCAATCACAGTTTAGTGACACGAGCAGTCCACTCGGATTGGCAGTAATTTGTCCCTTTGGTTTGGTAGCGAACCTGTGGTTGGCTACACTGACGTTAGAAAAGATATCCAGGCGGAACCAACAGGTTATGAGCATGTGCTGTATGGTTGGCCTGATGCAAACCCTACAACTCATTTCGTTCAGAAACAGTCTCCCCCCTCGACCAGGCCACCGAGGCTAAAATAAAGAGCAATCAATAATCAAGCTGACGTATACCTAGTTTCAACAGAAGTCTTTTTTTTTCAAGCAGATCCCATTGTACCAAATAAAGTAGTCCCCCCCCCACCCCCCCACCCACCCACTCCCCAGCCATTTGTATGATTTTAACAGTGAACCGCGCACAGCCTCGAGCTCAAAGCGAAATCTAAGTGTGATTTGGAAAAGCATAAAGTCTATGATATGTAACCGGTGTTTTAATTTAGCTTTTGTAATGGCCTGTTCATTCTGATCAAAGGAGCACTGGCTCGGAGTGACTGGCGTGCACAGGTGCAGATCTATCTGAGAACCCACCCCACGCTAAGTAACTGGTCCTCTTTTGAATTTGGTCTTGTTCAGCGCCATGTGCTGAGGGAGCTCCGTGCTGTGCTGTGTTCAGCACACTTCCTTGCCGGTGGAGGGTGTGGGCAGGATGTTGAGCTGTGTGAGTTGGGCCGCGTGTTCCTTGGCTTTGAGTCTGAGCGCTGCGATGCTGGATGCCCGTCTGTCTGCTGCTGCTGCAGCGGGGTCTGAGAGGGCGCCCGCCTGCACTGCCCCCTCCACCCCCGGGGCTGGCTGTCTCAGCAGGGCTGGGCCAGAGGCACCTGTCAGCGGGGCTACTGTCGAGAAGAGCCTGCAACATACATACAAGGATGTTCGACGTTACGTTCTCCAAAAGGGGATTTTAAATTAAATATTACCAGCCGCTTTAGATTTTAAGTCGACATAAGGCCAGGTTCATTCACCCTCCAGTGGGCTGCTGTCAACTCCAGTGGGTCGATGAAGACCCACCACATATTACCAAACCGATTGTAGGTATTATGCAAAGAGCAAAAATTGGGAAATTGGGGCTTGACAATAGGTATGTATTTGGGGTATTGTCTGAATGTACTTTTTTCGTAATTGTGTCACAGCTTTACTAACAATAAGTTTCGAGTTTAGACACGAAATTATAATAAAGTCTGGGTGATTGCAACGTAAAGCTACCTGAAGATCAGGACTACCAGAGATGATATCCCACCACTATCCCAGCTAACTTTCACAAGTTAGCTTTGCATGCAAAGACCTCTTTGCATTTCCCTACTGGACCACAATAATGCTGATCAGCTTATCAGTTGCAGAACTTTTCATATTAGGCGTCATGTACCGACACTATATACAACCTTGCTAAGAAAACTGGTAATCAATAACAGTGACTTTGAATTAGTGGTTCGGTTTAGTCACCTGTGTGTGCTTATATACAATGCAAATAGTAAAATAGATTTCACAACAGGGGACACATACTTTTCACAACCTGCGTGCACTGCTTCGTTAGATAATCGGTCAAGTCCTGGACTGTACGCTCGTTCGCATATTTGCTCTACACTCTATGCAGCAGAAAAAATGGATCCAATGGATCCTAAACTGATGTTAGATTATTGGTGGTATCATGAAATACCGGTCAATACATCAATTTATACATTACTGCGAGAACTATATACCGGTATTTTCAATTGCTCGAAGAAAACGAGTTACATTGATGATTTTTGCTCCCACTTTTTTCATCCCTGCCCTATTACACCAGAAAGTATCTTCGTGCAAGATCCAATCAGCTTTTCATTCTCGCCACGTGATAAGATGTTCATAAAAATAACAACGATCCATTTAGCCTCTGGCATTTTCCCATCTTCACTAAATTATCACGACGTTTTACATTTTAGATCTGACCGGATTAACACCAGATAAGCTACTTAACGCGTGAAGAATATCGTAGAACCAGATTGTAACACAATCCAGGGCAAAGGTATAACTTGCAAAGGTATTTGGTGATTCTTAATCAGTGTATTTTTCTATTAATAAGTATACTCCCCCTCCCCTCCACCCCCCCACACACACACCAAAAAAGCGACGTAGAAATATGGTACAGATGATCTCGTGTAACACGGTGGTGACATGCAATGGTAAGGATTGCACCAGAGAATGTTGCACACTGCGTGTACACACACACTAACTAAAGCTGTTGAATTTACCTAAAACGTCTCTGTTCTTTGTCATTGTTATTCGTGTGTGCTTCGATGTCGAATGACTGCACCATTTGTGCACTGCACTATCCTTGCCTGGTACACAGCTGTGTGTATGTGTGTGTGTGTATGTGTGTGCGTGTACGCGCATGTGTTTTTTTTTCGGATTGAGCGCTGACACCATCAGGAATCGCATGTTCGCGCTGCTTATCACTTGCATCGCAAATAGTTCCAATGACCATTCCTAATCGTTTCAAAAGGAACAAAGCGGGAAACCTCAAAAATGTGCCATAAGCATAGAAGTAGTTAGTTGGAACAAAGAAACGTTTCCCACCCTGACCAACGAAATATTTTAGCAGTAAAATATTGCCAGCTCTATATCTCCCCCCAGATAGAAATGCAAGTTCTGCATTCATATTTATTTATATTTATTTATCCTTTCTCCTGCCCTCTCTTTGCGCAATGCATCTGCACTTTCCAACTTCCAGCTTTGCTCTTTACACATCCCATTTCACAAAGTGAACCACCAATACGTCAGCCTGAAAAGAGAGGTTTCAGCCTTGAGCCGAAAAATGCTGAAGAACACATTTGTTCTGTATTTCATGAAGCAAGTGAATGAGAAAGTGAAAATATTACGAGACAGTCCATGGTCTGCCAACCTCCCCCCCCCCCGTCCCAAACACACACACACGTCCTGTTGCATTCAATTGTACTTGTCAAAATCTGCAAGAACTGAAGTGTACTTGTCGTGTCAGCGCACAAACTGTTTTTATGTCGATCAGAAATGTCTGGTCTGTTTCTCGAGCTTTGCTTTCATGTCATAGCCAACTCTCTCTGGAAAGGCGCTGACATGATACCTGCAAAAAGCCGGTTCCTATTGCCAGCCTCTGCCCAACCCCACTGTACACGTTAACACACGGGAAGATCGGGAGTTTTGTCAGGATTATTTGCTGTGGATTCTCGCTGCCTTTTTAAAAATTAGGTCTGGGTTATTGTAACGCGCAAATGACATGTTTCTCGATGGGGCCTGCACTTTTTAACGTTTTCTTTATTTCTTAACTATATTGTATAAATGCAGTTTTCATTCCATATTTGTTGCATTTATGCTCATTTTCGCACCGAGAGTTGCTGTTACTGTTGAATTAACAGCAGCTGCTTTCTGTGCACTTATTTCTATAAACCTGGTACTGACTCGGTACACTGTGGAGAGTTTTCAAATCTCGACTCAATGTTGGTCACCTCTTATGCAGAATTCGTATTTTTGTCCCTCTAATGCTATTGCCCTATTATTATTATTATTATTTTCCTGTGATGTGCAGCTTGTCATTTTTTTTTCGCTGGGTATTTTATTTGATGGGGGACAGGACAGGTCTAGGAATGTGCTCGGCTTCTTAAATGGGATGTTTTTGGAACTGTTGCTTCCCCTTTGTGCTCGTCTGTGCTCCAGGGGCTGCTGCGGGGAAGGGCTCCCACTGAAGCGCCTACCTGCCGAAGTGCGGGGTGATGAAGGGATGCCTGAACATGGCAGCTCCCAGGAAGGTGCCGAGGCCCAGAGGGGCCCCGGTGTGGGGCAGCACCGCGCTTCCCGGCGGAGGAGGCAGCCCGGGGAAGGCGGCGGCGGCGGCGGCTGCGGCGGCTGCGGCTGTCCAGGCGGACTCCAGGGTAGGATGGTGCCCGAAGTGACTGGTGTCCAGATAGGGTCCCAGGGGGTGACCGGCTCCCAAAGCACTCGTGAAGGGCAGCCCGGCCGCGTGGCTCTGAGCTCCTGCCTTCTCCCTCTTCCTCCACTTCGCTCTACGGTTTTGAAACCAAACCTGGACAAAACCAATCATCCGAAACAAAACAAACTTCGGTTACCAAAAAAAACAAAACACTGGAACTGCAAACAGATTCTTGTAAAATAATTTTTTTAAAAAAAAAAACCACGCAGCCCTCAATCACGATTTGCAAGAGTTAATCCCACGTGAAACCAGATTCTTGTGGTCACAGCCAACAGCAGTAAAGCGCAGGGAATGCAATAAAGCTGTTCACAACGATAAATAGTAAAGGAGTCACTGAGTCAGATCATAACTTTCAATTTCAGAGCTTTGCAGAAAGATGAAAAAAAGATTTGCAATTGCATCGATGCACACCCAGTATTGCAGTGTTAGATTATAATAAAAGTATGGATTGGCAGCAAATACCAACGTTCAGAAACTATCAGGACTAGATTTTCAGAGCTTATAAATGTGTCAGGAGAGACGGAGCCTGGAGCTCGCACCAAAGGGAAAATGTAACCATTTCTGATAGGTATACACATTTTTTCCACTTGTAAATCGCTTTCCTCGTTTGTTGGTCAAATAAAATAAAATATATCTTTATACCCCAAATATATAATCATCTATTTGTTCAATTTACATAATGCAGTAAATATTTTTCGCACCTTGCAGGTTCCTTTCTCAGTACTTAACACAGTGCCTGGATTTTATTAATTGAGTTGACACTTACTGATGTCATGCTAACAATTTATAAAATCGTTGCTAAATTAGCTTTAATTACTTTTTCACGATGGGGTCTGTTTAATAATGAAAAAAATAACGCATTGCAGGTCAACTAAAGGCGAAAGTTTTGCATTACGAGCACATTTCAAAACATCCCACAGATTATATTTGGTCCAAACGGGCTTTTGTAAAGACGTAAAACAAAGTTATTTAACTTTCCCACGACTTTCTGAGCACAAAATAATCATTCGTGGCCGCCTGTCACGTCGGGTATTTGACAATAGAACAATGTGTCAACAAACGAGAGAAAATCTCATCATTAGCCCTTTAATGCAAGAAGCTGTTGTGTATTAAATGAGCCATATGGAATTTATTAGGTCTTATCAGCGCTCGATTGTAACTGTAAAGTGATTTGCTCGGCCTTTACCTCCCAACATATGTTTTATGTCCCCCCGTGCTCGCAATAATGTTTATCGTCTCTTTGGTTATGAGTCTTGGGAGAGAAAATGCAGGTATGGCCTGTATCCACTTGAATCGCATGTCCCTTATGTGCCTTTACGTTTGTTTTTCTGGAAGCGAAGGAAATCCAGGGCCGTGCTCCCGGCTTCAACATTCCCGGTTGCTGCTATGGCGCAAACCTTTGCTTATCAATGGCCCTTGTGAACCACGAGTGCATACAGTCTAAGTGAAACATTGCATATTATCTGGTGCACTTCAAACTGGAATAGTGGTTATCTGGTATTTATTGCAGAATTGTTTAATGTCATTCATGTAAAACAACTCTATATTGAAGATTCTATCTATATATCTATCTATCTATCACACGTACAGTATACAGTAGGTGTTACTTACTTGTACCCGTGCTTCTGTTAAATCTAACCGCATTGCCAGCTCCTCCCTACACAAAAACACAGAAAGTTTCAAATAAATAACAGAAAACATATTTCCCCACGCCTTTCTAAAAAAAAGTGAACACTCATATCACCAGCAGTAAATAGTAAACGTGTTGAGTGAGAATTACACATAACCCGGTACCTATTTACAGACGCTCTCCAATCTTTCCTGTTTACTTGGCCCATAAAACAGGCCAAACAGAGTACGCAAACACTGAACAAGTCAAGCGGGACGTCTCGGGCGCTGTCAAAAATGCACAACCTTTACTTTGGCAGCACTGTGCCACTATGTTAGTTGGGAAGGTGCCACTGAATATTTACATGAAACCCAGTTGATTGCAAATAATTGCCCAAGATTCAACTTTAACATGTGAAATATCATCAGCATGTTGACGTGTGTGTGTGTGTGTGTTTTTACCCCTTGCACCTAATAATGTAAATATTCTTCTAATTTAGTAGACATTTGTGTTCCACTGGGAAGTGGCTATGTCGGGGGAGGAGGGTGTTCAGACTCTGACAACTGCAGTGTTTCAGTGAGCGATAATACTGAACTAATGTGTGACTGGGAGCTGCTTCTTGTGTAGTCGGCTCCTTAAGTCAAGTGGCTAAACCAGAGATGACTTTTCAAAACATCTGAGGACTGCGCTTTCCAAAACACAGTCAAAGCACAGTGTTACATAAAATAAAGCCAACCTCAACGAAGAATTTCGGAAGATTTTGAATTGATGAAGTTGGAACACTAAATTGGAAACACTGCACACAAATCCACATCTGTTTACTGCCGAGCAACTTTCATTGAAGAGCGTATTATAGCAAAAAAAAGTTACCACACTTTCCAAAGACCGCATGCGGCTAGTTTGGGGTCTATCACTGTCCCTTTGACGGACGTATTTATTTCTACGCGGATCAAAACAAAAAAAAACCTCTTAATTTCCTTTTGAAATAATTGGGAGTGGATTGCATATTGATTATCTTTTGCATTTGGGGTTCTTGTAAGTTTTTAAAGGTGTTTTCAAGTTTTTTTTTTGGGGGGGGTGGGGGGGGTTGTGTGTGTGTCGGCTGTTCAAATGTGTGTGCATCGTACCTGGTGAAGACATCTGGATAGTGGGTTTTCTGGAAAGCTCGCTCCAGTTCTTCGAGTTGGTAACTCGTGAATGTAGTCCTGTACCGACGCTGTTTTCTTTTCAACATGCCTTCTTCAGAGTCACTGCCGGCTGACAAACACAGACTGTCCTCCCCATCCTTCCCATCCACATCCGCCTGAGCCTCCTCCACAAGTTTGGGGGACAGCTCATCTTCAACCGCAACCTCCTTCACAACTCCCTCAAACGACTTGGGATCCATGTCGATGGGTTCATCCGAGACCAACTCTGATGGCTCGGCAAACTTTTGCCTGTTTTCTTCCTGCGTTTTGCCCAAACTGGAGTTTTCTTTGTACGATTTACTGCGGCTGATGCTGACTTGTGGAGCTTGGTTGATTTTCAGATCGACGTTTCGGAGCTGGTCGGGAGATCTGTCCTTTTCCAATTTTTCACCGGTCTCGTTAAATTCCCTGGTGTCCAAAAAGTGTCCCCCCTGTCCGTACAGTCTTCGGAATTTAGGGGGGAGATGGAGCTCCGAGTCAAATGCCATGTTTTCCTTGGGTGATCCTTAAAAAAAAATGCCTCCAGTCAATCATTTAGAATTCATAACCTTTTACTGGTCGAGTTATACATTTTACAAGGTTTCCTAAACCCTATCATTCACAGTTGGCGGCTGAGACCATTACAAACCAGACGCACTGCGTTGGGAAAGACTGACAGTATTTGGTCTATCTGGTGGTCAAAGTTATAAATCAAAACCAAAGGCGGCAGGAAATTGGCCACAATTTACAAGTAAGAGTACGAATTAGTAACATTTGAAAATTCGGAAGCAGCCGAGTGCCTGTTTGCAAAATAAATCTTCGATTTCATCTCTTTTTACACACAAAAAAATTACTTTTTAAAGCGAGTGGTGTGGGTCAGGCCACTGTTTCAGGCGATGGCGTTTAGTGTAGCCGACAAGACCGAGGCGCTTGTTTTAATCTCGAAGGAATTAACAAGTGTGTGCCACCGTAAAGGAATCGTCAGTTTGTTTTCACGATTCCCAAGGAATTTTAAGACCAAATCCCACAGGTTTGATGGGCAATTCTCAAGCAAATGTGCCGATTTCTCAAGTGTTGCAGACATGCTTCCCGCTGTATTAACAGCAGACAGCCGAGCAAGTGGAACGAGCCTTGTGTGCCATCAATGTTTGCAGATTTTACACCAATTCGCTCATTTGGACCTGATCAAGATACAGGCGTTTAAGGACCATATTTCGAAGTTGCAATTTTTAATGTGAGACAATAAATTTAATATCTTCCTCTCGAAAAATAAATCACGCCAGAACCACTTCCATTCGGTTCACTTCCTGAAATCTCACTGGCAAACGGTTTGACGGAATATATTCCGACGACATTTATTTTATTTGAAATTACAGGAAAGGTGAAGTGCACCGTTTCGTTTAAAGATTCCCACTCCGAGAATTGAATTCTATTCATAGGTTGTTTTTTTTTCTCTCCCGTGAACCTAATAGATGAGGTTGGAGAAGGAGGAATGTGGAAGATTGATCTGATGCATTTGGTTTAAAAGCTTGTCCAAAGTTTAAAGGCGCAGAGATCTAAGATATTTTATTATTTATCTGAAAGCAAATCAATAGTCAGTCCCCAAAAGAAATACCTGAAAGGGGATTCGGATGTATTAAGTGTTTCCTTTATCTCCAAAGACAAAACCAAAGACTTTCTCAAGCTTAGCAAAACACATACACTCGCCTCAGATAACACTCGGCAGAGAGGCAGAGGGGCAGAGAGGGGTAGAGAGGGGCAGAGAGGGGCAGAGAGGGGCAGAGAGGGGCAGAGGCAGAGAGAGGGCACAGAGAGGCAGAGGCAGAGTTGGCAATTGGGCTTTGTAATGGCCACAAGAGTTCCTTTGTCAAAGTCTTCAAACGTTGTAGTTTTCTTAGAAAATCTGAAGGGAATATTTTTCGGGGTGGTGGGGTGAGGTGAGGGGTGGGGGGTGGTGAAGGGGGTGGGGGGGTGTGGGGGGGTAACTTGTTGTATCTTTGAAGCAGCGCTAACCGATAGTTGTTCGTGTTAAAGTCCTTACCTTCGATGGCGGTGTCTGGCTCACTCCTGGCCGCCAGGACTGGTAACGCCTGAGCTCCAAAGCACCTCATTTTACAGGGGCTCCTCCTGCCCAGAATACTGTCGATGCAGTAAGAGGAGAGCAAAGTTGGGGATTTACTTTTACACTCGGACCTCTCGCAGATCTCCTCCTTGTATTGAGTTGTCATGGTATGAGGTTTGTTGCTGAGTTTGCCGGAGGCTGCGATTTCCCACTTGCACAGCAATCGCTGTTGCTCGGATCGAGACACTAATGACATTTGTATTGGGCTGTAATTGCTCGCCTCTCGATTCTCCAATACACGTGCTGATGCCCCTATGATTGGCTCAGGGAGGTCTATGGAGCCCCTTTTTTTTTCTAACTTTCCTCCCAACAAGTTTGCACGAAGAGGAAAACGCGATCTGGAGCAAATTGGGAACGAACCTTGTTGGAGGACAGACCTGTTCTTTGTTGGAACTGCACAGAGCGGAATTTGCAGCCAAGATAACTCAGCAGCCTGTAGCTCCATTTAAACCTGACACCTGTCAAGCCCACGGGCACATCCACCCGCAACTGCAGACGCAGTAAAAGTAACTTTGAGACGATGCTTCGTTTTGGTTATTTGGCCAAGTCCTGTTAAGGTACCTTTGATTTTGATGCCAAATCGCAGACCAGTTACTCGACTGCCTTCAGTTCCGTTCATGTGGACTCGTATGATTAAGAAACTCAACAAACACTGAACCTGAAGTGAAATTCATTTCGGCTTCAACAGAGCTGTTACCTTATATAGTTCACAAATAGGAGTTTGCAGCAATGCAATGCAGGCTCTTCAATATCGTCCACCCCTGCCCCCGGGTAGGGATAGATTTTAATTTGGGGGTAATGCAATTCAGGATGCGCTTACCAACTATCAAATCACAATACAACTTAGCTTTCTTGCTTTTTATTCAACTCATTAAATGTTGCAAATGAAAGCAGGATCGTTTTGCTTCTAATTATTGCTGCACTTCTTGCATTGAAGTACGTTGAAGCAAGCGACCTTCTGCCCTCTTGTTATCAGAAGGTGAAACTCTGATCATTTAATTTTGACGTGTTTCGAAGCGGTTTGAGGCATCGTATGTACAGACCCGTCAGTCAGACAAGAGACTGCAGAGCCGCATCGCCCTGAAATCCGCAACAGGACTTCGCAACGACTCCCCATCACCCATCAAATTAAGGGATAGATTAACTTGTAATGTGATATATTAAACGTTCGTCTTCGTGGGTAAATGTGTTTTACAATAACATGGACTGTCGTGATTTTTTTTGAGAGAAAAAAAAACATGGAACTTGTCAGTGAACATGAGATGTGCTGACGAGAATGTGTTCTTGACTGCACGGTTGTTAACATCAATGTTAAGGTTATTACAAACATTCAGAAGCTAATAACTGCATTCCTTTTGTGAAAAATAATTGTTCATACACGACTCCAAATATTACATATACGGACTGTACTGTTTGTCGATATTAAGTACTATATTGCTGTATTTAAAATAAAATGTTCCCTGCAAACCGTGTCGTGTAGATATTTGTACACTGGAGAATTCGGTGCTATTTTCTGTTATGTGATAACCTAAAGCTGCATTTAGTGACTTCCTGGGGGGGAAAGCGCCCTGAAACGTTTGCTTATTCCCCACTGAAAACAACTGTAACTGCATTGCGGAAATACTCCATGTCAAGATCACAGACCCAGACAATTACTTCAATGTTAATTTGGGTCCAACAATTTCATACCATTAAAAACGCAATCAGTTTAAAGGATTCGCGTCCCCACAGTTGTTTGCGAGTTTTCGCAACTACTTCCACTTCCAGAAAAAATAACTGCCAAGTAGTACAGTTGAAGCTTTCCCTGTATATCTGTGAGATTCATGGTCGTGGAGGAAGAGCATTATTAAACGAGAGAGAGATAGACATGAGAAATTACACAATAATCACAGAGAGATAATGTTGCTCAATCTCACCGTCTCCTGTCTTGTGGGCGCGCACACATACACATACACATACCCTGACGATGGATAGCAGAGTAAAAGCAGGGAAAGCTTGTTAAATCTTGTAAATAGTCAAGAAACGTTCTGGTGGAATATATTCATCGAAGTTATGCCATTTTCAAAACGATATCTGCAAACACTTCAAAAGGACAACTGGTGCATTGCATTAAAGGTAACGATGTCTGCTCAACGTGTTAATTTAAAATGAGATATTATCTGACTGAATAGCATACCTATTTAAATGCCTCAATAGTGTTTTAAAATCAGAGATAACAATTGACCTATTGTTAGTAATAGATAAGTTGAAATATTGTATTCTACACATTTTTATCTCGCCTTTCAACTTGCAAAAACAAACTATCTTTGCCGAAAGGGATGCAAATCTGAGCATTTCTATTTTTTTGTGTGTACTATAAAAACCCTCAAATTGGCGATGCAGTACTATTTTCGACGTGATGTGCGTTATAACTGTCACAGTTGAAACGGTGCGTATTGTTTCAGTTGCACTGAGGAAGATTCTGCATTAAATATACTTAACAAGGCACGGAATAAAAGGAAGTTCTGCCGTTGAATGTATCTGTGAAGATGTACTTTGTGGGAGGATGACTGAAATCAGGCAGGAACTCGATTAAGACGTGAGAAGATCTGAAACAGCTGGATTGCATCCTCAGCTCAGAGTCCAGAAAGCGAAAGAGCAAGTCCTACTCAAATTACTGTATTAAATCTCCAATTAAAGCTCTCGTTAAATATGCATTTATTTACACGATTGGGATTATTTGTACGTGTATGGCATTTGCATAGGAAAGAAGTGAAAAATATATCGTACATTTATTTACACCATTCTGTGGACAGCGATTGCTCCTTTCTGCTGCTGAATAAAATTGCTGCTAAACGCTTCGTCTCCGCCATTAAAAGTGCCAGCTATGTTAATGCAAAGTGCGTTATTAACACTCATAATTAACTCCTTGCCTGCAATCCAACGTGTCATTTTTTTTACACAACACAAGGGAAGACAGATACATCTAATAACGGTGGAAGCAATGGGCGCTGCTTGTTTGATTATTATGCCATCTCCATAATACATTTAAAATAAATTCCTTTGAGATTAAATGGTTAGAACATATGTCATGGTCGATGGTTATTACGGTGGGCATTTAGTCAATAGTTATTTGCCACCACAAATCGGTTATCTATACTCAGCACTTATTGCACATGTGTGTTATATAAAACATACATTGATTGAAGTTGCAGTACGAATTACTTCAACTTTAATCAGTTTGTGTTTGATGTAACATACGTGTTGTGTACAATACGGCAGTAAAACGTTCTCTATAAGTCGGATTATTTCCACATCCGATTGGTTCTTCAAACAATATGTTTATTTACATTTTAATACAATTTGAAAAGTGGAAATATGTTGCATTGTTCGAGACCTCTTTCCGCAGACCATTTGCTTCTTAATAAATTGGAAGGATGTGGAAAACGATGGCCAACACGGGCACAAAACGAATTATTATTGCAAACCAAGTGGATGGTATGCACTTGTTATTTCGAATTGTTGAACGACACAAGAGCGAATGCATATCTTTTATTATAAGCCTTAAACTGCTGGAGATGTTCAATACTAAAATGAGAGATGAGACTTCAGATGCTCTGAAGTTAAAGGATAAAGTGTGAGTGCTCGGGACAAATAATGCTCAACCCAAACACCAAGAGGTGAGGTTCTGAAAGTAACATTTTTACTCCTGAGTTAAACATTGAACCATCCGATCTACCTTTCCGTTTTCCTACACGATTCTTTCAATGTATTTATATAAAATATCCAATAACGATGGTATCCAATTTATGCTGAGAAGTGATTTAATGTGGCATAGAATCCCAGTCTTCCTCACCAGGACAGGGAGGATTTCCATTGGTGTCAACATGAATAACACCAGTCAACTTCAGTCCGCAAATGTGTCAGTGAACATTGCGTTCAGTTTGATCCTGAACCGAAGACTCGCGTTGATTTAAGAGTTTCTCACATGAAGGTCTTGAAGTCTTTTTTTAAAAAAACACACGAATACTTACATGTATGTACACAAATGCACATGTCAGCCGTTTAGTTGTGCTTCATACACTGTTTATACAAACACACATCGCGTTCAAAACCTGTCTGGTCGTTTGGATCAAATGCGGGTACATAGAGGATGGATACCTATTAGGTATATCCGCTTCATATAGATAACAGAGGCAGCAACACTGGAATTATGTCCTGCCTTCTGCGAATATTCACAAAATAGGAATATTTTCTGTTATATACACTTTAAGTGTAAACGTGCACAACAATTATCCATAAAGCGCGAATTTAAGATCAAATAGCATTGCATTTAAGCAGATTGATCTGTGCAGCATAAGCGAAAACTACAGTACTACACCGGAAAGGTACAAAAAGATTGGTTATCCTATGTTATGGAGAGTGGAGCTCAAAAGGCAACATGAAACTTTACTGGATTGTTAGCTATAAATTAATTTATTTTCCTTGCAGGTGCTTTTCTGTTGCCTTTCTGTCATTGATTCACAGACAATAATGCCTGTGGTATCTGACGTGAGTGGTTTAAACCGGTAAACGATTCCAGAAAAGGGCTCCAATAATTGCAGGACTTGACAGAAGTGGGTTCCAGATCAATAGCAAAATTTCCCCTGCCGATCCATCCACAGAAGTATATCTCGTGTTTGCAGGATTCGCCTTCTTGTCGAGACACTGATCTGAGCTCCATTGAACTTCACAAGTCACCGAAGTGGCCCCTGACTCCCAGGGCTGGCTTCTGTGTGTGGTTTGCTATATTAAGAAACTGGCAAGCAAATGCATAAAATATCAAGGGGTACTTTTTGGTGCAAACATTGTAATTCTGTTTTTTCTCTCTCTAATAACAACTGAAGGTGAAGTTTCAAGCCAACCAGATGTCTCATCTGCGACCACAATAGAAACCACTCGGATGTGCAATAAACAGGCAGAGGTTGTTTCAGTGACAGACGAGCACGTTCCCTGTTTTTGCTACAACTAAACCACCATTGTGCAAGTAATTGTCTGGAATAACAAAAAATTAGTTCAGTAGATTTTTAATTAGAGGGTTTGCAGACTTCTACAGTCCACAACCCGTCGAAGATACACTTGTTAAATCCCTTTTTTTGTTGATTTCTGTAAAGCACATTTAAAAGCTCAAATAAAACGTGAAGAAAAACACCCAAT